GCTCATACAAGTGGCATAGAATAAGCACACAATTTGACAGTATCGCCTTGATTACATTCACGCTTAGGTCAAGGTTTCAAACAAATGCTTTAATGTTTGCCAAGATAACAAAAAAGAAGGAAAAGCACAGCCTTCCGGCTGCACTTTCTGACCTTTTGTATCGTTTGTATCGGAAAACAAAAAAAAAAAAGCAATGTATCGGAGAACTTTCGTATAGGAAAGTTTCGTAAAACTTTCGTATCGGAGAACAATATCTTTGACAATGGTGAACACAAAAGGCCGCCAAGTACCAGCAGAGATGAAGAAGGGAATGTCGAAACAGTGCAGTTTAGGCTAACCAGGTCAGAATAACATGAGCAACAAACTTTTTCAAAAACAAGATTATCCGGTTGTACCTGCTACCAAGAAATGAGGAGCAAAAAGCATGTGACGGGTTTCCTAAGGCTGAAAGGGTCCTACTATGGGTTCCCGTAGAACACAATTCCCTCCCTGACCGGCTCACCTGTGACCAGTTTCCTTGTGATGAGTTTTCTGTGAGTTATGTGTGACAAGTGGGCCTCTCCCATTGTTTCGGTGGCATATGTTTCACAGATATTTGGTGAACATTTCATAGAATGCAAGAAAACATATGGAAGAGCATGTATTTGTGTCATATGTCTCCATTTTCTCCTAGCCTGGGGCATACTATAATTTCAAGGCATGTGTTGTTGACAATATGAAAAGGCAGTGTGCAGCGCACCAAGGTTTCACTAATAATGGAGCAGCTTGTGCCGACACATTTTGCTGCTTGACTGTTTGCTGGGCTCGGCAGATATTCGAAAAAGTATTCAGGAATACAAATACTGAAATATATGTGCTGGAGGCCTCACATACAAATACTGAGAACCATGTTCTTTTGGTGTAACAGGATATTTCAGAGATAGTTCTAGAACTATGGCAAAAAAGTATCCTGGAGTGCAGATACTGAAGCATTCTTTTTATTTCAAAAAGGTGATGTTCCACACAAATATTTAATAATGCACCGCAGAATAGGCAACAATGTAAGTGGTGCAAGTCAATTCTCAATAGACTGTGTTAAATGCCCTCTACTGTTCACCATCGTTTGGTCTGATGAGCTTCAACGACACCCAGGGACAATTTAATTTGATGTGTTGATTCTTTTATCTCCCGGACCTAGTAGGCGAGTTCAACATGTCGTAGGCTGATTGGGTGAGGGTTGTGGGTTGCTAATGACTGGAGGAGGTGAGTTGCACATAAAATGGCACTCCTGTAAATGAGTGGCTACAGCTATGTGCGAGGCATTGTTGTGTTTGCACCTCTCTGTTCACCTCATCTCCAGGTTTTCCAGTATGGTGGAGGAAACCGACAGAGAAGCGTGACATACAGATGCATTCCGACAAAATATACAATAAGGTATCAGCATAAAGCAAACAAAAAATTATCACTGCCAAAGGACAAATATGAGTGTGCACTGTCATGGTCAGTTAGCAGCTCTGACCAATTCACAAATTCTGGGTGGGGAGGTGAGAAGGGTTCAGTCCTCGGCAGGTACAGATTGCAGTACCTGAACTTGTCGCTTTCTGTCGGCCTTTGCACTTTTCCTTTCTTGAACTCCTATTCACAGCTATGTTCGCTGACACCGGCGGTAACCCATTATTGCCCCCGGTGAATGCTATTCATGCTGGAGGCCAACGACTAGTTGACAGTTGCCGTCTGCCCTAAACATCCCTTCTTTTTGCCTTATGTCCCTATACGAGCCTTTCCTTCTATTGCCGACATTCCGGACCACTGAAAGAGGCAATGTCGCAAGTAAATAAAGTCGACCCTCATGGACCCCTATCATCGATTTATTTATTATTTGAAAGCCATGTCTCAGTGAATCTTGTTCTGCACTGGTCTTGGTTTTGCTGCTAGTGTGCTGTTGCTGCAGCTTATCTATTGTCACTCTCAAAGTCTATGATCATGCTGTGTACTAATAAGGGGCCCTACTACTGCTCTTTGCAGGTGCTAGTGGTTCACAGCCTGTTCCTGCTCCAATCATGACGGACCTTCTGAGGACAACCGACAAAGACGACTTTGACAGCTTTGTTTGTGACCTTAAAGAAGCATTTATTGATGACGTGATTGATAGTGTCGAGAAGAGCACACGTATGCAATCATCCTCTCGGGAGTGGCATTTGCACAGGAGAGCCAGGGTCACCAGCACAGTATGCCATGCCTTTAAGACAACAGCTACGAGGGTAGAGAAAGAGCCAGGGCCACATGATATGACGAGCCTTCTGAACGCAGTCTCATGCATGAGCAGCTTTCAAACACCATCTATGAAAAGAGGGAAGAGCATGGAATCTGAGGCTGCTGCATTCTACATGACTTTACTGATAGCTGATGGACACCAGCCAGTGCTTGAAAACAGGGGATTCATCATCTGGAAAGACTTCCCTGTTATGGGCTGCTCTCCAGACGGTGTAGTCAGTTATGATTGCGAGTGTTGCCTTGAAAAGCTGACCTTACTCGAAGTTAAGTGTCCCGACAACATAAAAAACTCCTTCTCTGGGTGTCGGCCTAAACCAGTATACATGACACAGATACAAGTTGCAATGGGAATTTTGAACATCCCATCTTGCCACTCCTTTGTCTACAAGTCACCAGAAGACTGGAGACAAGTGACTGTTGACTTTGATGCAAAGTACTTTGACACGTGTGTGCGTGCTGTACATACATTGTACTCCAACTACCTCTTTCTCTCACTTCGAAGCAGTCTACAGAACATGGGTCGCTCTTTTGCTGCTTAGGTGTACTCATGTTGAGTGTTATCTATACTTCATTCACCCCTAAGTTGACAGTGCGGTTTAAAGCTGCATGCTCGTTGGACGCTCGGCTGCCAACGCTGCGCCACGTGACCACCTCCCTCTCCGCACGCTTGCGCCCGTTGAGCGAGATCAAACAATAAAATTGGTCTGGCAAACATGTAGCTTCCAGCGCACTGTCAGTTTAGGGGTGAACAAAGTATACAGTGTGTGTTGAGTTTTCATTGTCTAGTTCCCATAAAATTGTTTACCGTGTACGCACTAGCAGTTGCGAGGTTTCCTCTCAGCTGCCAGATATGCGAGACTGTACTGTACAGATTTGCAAGCAATACAGTTGCTGACCTAAAGGAGATTGCCAAATCAACCATTTCATTTTGTATGTAACGAATAGGATCTCCGAGGAGGAACCCCTGAGTATTCATATGCTGAAACGAAATAAAAATGCATATACAATTCCAACAGGTCTCGCTGTCATTCAGTGTGAACCAATGGAATTACCCTTCAGAGCAAAAAAGAAATATTCCGCTTCCACCCCAGATCCCAAACGGTTGAAGCGATGGTGAGAATAGGGAGTACTACAATCATGTTCACAAGTTCTTCGGGGTACTCTAAAGATAGAATGCCTATGGCGACGCCATTTTTACCATACCCCAAAGTGCTTGCAAACGTTATTCTAAAACTTAAAGGGCCCATGCAACGATTTCGAGTTTGAATTTTACGCATTTTGCGCAAACATACTGACACAAGCGTGGCACAAGTATGCTCGTATGTAACGTGCTGAGCCACAAGCTTCCTTATCGCCGTTTAATCTCAAGAGTAAAAACGGACTATTTCTTTTCTTCTCGCCTTCGCAAAACATGGTGACGTAGCCACAAGGTACTTCGTTCATCCTCTGGTGACAGTGCAGCGAAGGCTATAAGCGAGAGCGAGCTCGCGCTCCTTGCTTTGAAACGTGTCTTCAGAGAGCGAGTGCTCGTTCCACAGAAGCCTGCTTCGAAGCCACAAACTCGTGCCCGCAGCTTTCACTGCCCTGAAAATACGGCATCGATGAAGCTATAGGGATCACCCGTGGTTGCGTCAGCCAAATGAGACTCAAGGATTGGGCACGAGTGCTGAATCATCGCTCGCTTGGACTCGATAACAATGAAAGCCTCCGTATGGATTCGGGTTAGAGCTAGTGTTTAATCACTGCGATGGCGGAAATTGCCGAGCTCCAACAATGCCTGGGCAGAGCATGTGTCCTCTAAATTGTCAACCCTAGCGCGTGGCTATGACAAACATTGGCGGCATAAAAGCGTAAAACCAGGTCACGTGACTGCTTGTTCGGGGTGCGAGTTGAGGGGGTGAAAACTGCTTGTTTTTCTTCAATGTTTGAAAGCTACTCTCAGCACGCGGTGACATAGACTAATGCACTTCTCGCTCATGATGGGCCTCAAGGATTCTTTCCGTATATTATTTAGCGAAAGTGAGAAAATCGTTGCATGGCCCCTTTAACGCAAGCAAGCAAATGAACAACAACCACACTGGCACACCTAGGACAGGAAGAGGGACTCTTCCCTGCTTACAGGTGTACAACCATATTTAAGGGCATGTATGGCATTCAGAATGCTCGTGTTGTGGTGGTGTTTAACCTGCTCTCTTTTCATGGTGCCTGTTCCATCTGCGTGTTAAGTGCCCTAGGCATCGGGAATGTCTGCCTAGTCTCTACAGACCCTTCTAGAGCTTTCCTTGCCTTGTCTAACTGTAGGCACTTTCACTACAAGTGAACAATTCACTCTGAACTCACCCGATTGAAATAGGGAATTCAACTCACTAGTTCTGTCAGGATGAGACAATGCAATTCAGCACATTCAGCTTTCAAAGCAGCTTTGCTGTACAAGTGTAGATCAAGCAGTCACATTGAGATTAGGAAGACAGCTTTACAAACCATGAAACAAGCATTCTCACACTCTATACATATATACACACTCTATACATATATACACAAAACAGCAGGACAAACATGCTAAAAGATGTCTTTTCAGGAGCACTAGTTACATTACTCAAAACTTCATAAAAAACAGCACGACAAGGGTGAATCATGGAACCAATTGCGCCGCGCAGCAGAATGCGGCATACGCCGTAAATATTGCTCAAATTAAATTTTCGTTTTCACAGAAAATGTGTCTTTTGACTCGTGCTTTCTATCCAGGCTGTTTGCAAAAATTTTGTTTTGGTGCTGGAGTGGCCCTTTAACACATTTCACACTTAGGTTTCTTTGAGCTGTGGTCCCTTGATGAGAGCAGGCTGCAGGTTGCAGAGCCCAGCAACAGCTGCTACAATGTGGTCAAGGTTGTTGTTCTTTGCAAGATATGACGAGGGAACATACTTCAGTATCCGGAAGCATTTCATGCGACGGATCGATCTTTCCACATGTATTCTCAGTTTGGCTAGCCTTCGGGACACCACCACATCCCGTGCAGCAAGCTGCTTTCCCTTCGTAAAGGAAGGCAGCGCAAGCTCTACTCCAATTGGCAGAATGTCGGCGATCGTGAAGCCCCTGTCAGCTAGGACTTCATCTCCATAGTCTAAGTGGTCGAGCAATCCAGAGTTTGCCGTCATGTACCGATCACTTGCCCGCCCTCCGTAGGCTTTGGAAACAAACATGATGAAGCCGTTGGGCGCGACAGCATGGAGCACCTTGACCGTGTTATGGCTTTTATAAAAGCTGAACATCTTTCCTCTCCTCAAGAGGTTTCGTGGTCTATCACAGAAAATCTCAAAGCAATCTATGATGCAGGTCGTCCGAGGCATGTCTTCAAAAACGTCTGGCAACGACAACCGAATTGTATCTGTCGGAAGCCAGAACATCAAGTACTTCCTCGAAAGCTGCGCCAGGTGCGGGATCCAAAATGAAAACACTCTGCTAACTACAGACGTGGATACGTGAAAACGAAATGCTAAGTCGGCAAGAAGCGACCCCATCCGTAGCCGCATCAGAGTCAACATAATTTGGTCTTCAACTGGCATCAGAAACGACGCCTTTGCGAGAGAAGTCGCCAGTGATACATATTGCTCAAACACAGGTTTCGTAAGGCCTGTAAAAAAACAAAACTGGCTGTCGGGAACACTCTCATACACTGTGGAGCTTGTTTGTGTTGCCCTGTCAGTGGCTTCAGGGGGCACAACCACAGCTGTCGAGCTGTATGTGTGGTCGGGGGCAGCTGTGTCGTACTGCACGCCCTGCTCTTTCATGGTTTTCTTCTTGCAGTCGCAGCCGCAGGTTGAGCACATGGTCTCTACATGGTGCAGCACACTGTATGTCACCGGTGAGGTGGCAGTGATGGAAGCCTCGGCAGTGCTCTCGTCGTCCGAGACAGCAGGTGGTGGTCCCGCAGGTGGTGGTCCCGCAGGTGGTGGTCCCACAGGAGACACCCCGGCACCTTGGTTCACTGCAGGAGCAGATGATGGCTTTGTGGTGAACTTGGCAGCGCTTTTGAGCACCGTCCTCCTGCCCTTGTGTGGCACCCTCTGTTTTGACAAAAAAAGTATGCATGGTTTGAAAATCATGGCGACGAGACCCTTTTCTGGGCACAAACGCTGAACAATGCACACAGAGATAGGAAACGACGCTGGTACCGTCTTCTTGCAGAGAGACATAGCAGAACGTGAGATGCGGCTTTCTTCGGGGTGGCTTCCCGCAAATCTTTTGACGCCCAACCCCTTGCACAGCGCCTCCCTGCAATAAGCCTACATAGCGTTTCGTTTTCGCATGTCCACCGCTCTGGCCAGCCAAATACATGGTTTCCACGTGTCGTCATTGTGGTCACCATACGTCTCATGAATGAGGTGGACGGTATATTGCCACACTGCTCTGCGAGCACTTCATGAAGCTGGGTGGCACGTGCCAAGGATGCCATTTCTGATTACTGAGTTTCGTCAGCGAAAACTGTGTATATTTTACAGCGGTATTTGCGACTCCAGGCACATGCTTTTAGGCCCTCAAACTTCAGTTTTATGCGTTGTCCGCCATGCGATCGAAGGTTTTGATGCTGAAGTGCAAGTTAGCACTTCAGCATCAACGATCAGATTCAACGACCCTCAACGATCAGGTTCGAATTGAGAATGTTTGGTGCTGTTTGCCCATCTGCATCTGCGAATAGCTGTTATGGGCTCTTCCCACGCCCTGAAATGATGGCGTTGGGCATAGGGCGTCTGTCATCAATAAACCCGAATGTTGTAAAAAGATTTGTTACATTTGGCCGCGGTCAGTAGTAGATCCTGGGTCTGCTGGTTGTGAGGCGAGCGCTTTATTACAGAACTACTGTCACCTTAACGCACTGCTTTAGAGAACTGCAGGTGGTGAGGACACCTGCGCATACGAGTCTCATGCTACACACGCTAGATATGCTTCCTGCATTGCCCTGGGGATGCCGCGGAAAAAGATATTCATTTTATTTCTCGGTAACAGGTAGTACCAGGCAGAACAAGAGAGTGCGTCTCAAACCGACAATCACGAGCATGCTTACTTCACCACTCCTTACCATGGAGCACAGGAAAGCCTAAAGATGTGAACGCATAGCACCTCGTCACGCAACCGCCCATGCACCGAAGGTGCGTACAAAGGCAAGCAGCTCACGCTTATCGTTTGCCGTGGTCCATGTCGGGGTGAGATGCTAGTACAGCTAGTATAACTGTGCGACGCCTCTCTGGTGTGTAAACCTGCGTAGCCCGGTGAAAACTGGTCTACCCCAAATGAGTCGCGCCGCGATCCGTCAAAGTTTCGGAAATGTGTTTGGAAAATTTGGGAGTTTGAACTCTTGTCAGGACTTTGTATTTTTCAATAGGTAGCAGCTCGTGGAGCTACAGAGCATGCCCATCCCAACATACTTTACGTACCATAAAGCATACCTGAGTGGTTCCCATAAAAGGTTCATGCACATGTCAAATCCTGTCACGGGGTTCACACAGATTAATCACATCATCATAAGGCCAACAGAGGCGTACTGCGAAACAGACAAGAATACACTAGGGCCCAATAAAATGTTATAGCTATCGCTGTGACCATCCATACTGTTCATTCACACAGGGCTGCTAATTTTTTGTTTGTGTCCCACATCTGGCACAACTTTTCAGGCAGTATTATCGTGAACTGTATGAAAGAGAATGCCGGAGTGCATGGCAGATAGCCTCGAAGCCTCCTGTGACACCATGCGGTGGCTGCTTTTGGAACCAAGGTGCAGAGAGCAGAGCATGCAATGGGACTGCACCACTTCTCTTACTTTGGTTCTAGGAGCGGCAACAGCGTATCATCACAGCAGGCTCTGAGGCTAATTGCCATGCACTCCTGCTTTCCCTCTCATACAGTTCACGATAGTACCTGATGTTTTGGTTACCTATGCCGACATGGATGCTTGACTGCTTCAAGATGTGGCTTTTTCGTGTTAATTTTTAAAAACTATGAAGAGGAAAAAAGTGATTCTTAGATAATGACCAACTCTGGATTTTTTTACTGCCTAGAGTCTAAGTAGTCAGAAAATCCAGAGTTTACACTATGTACCCTCGGGACTGCAAAGATGGAGGCCCTTGGTGACAGGGGCTTCATGATTGCTAATCGTAATGTCATGATGGCTACATCAAAGCTAGTCACCTTTTTACGTGGCACCTGCTTTTATGCAGGCATGAGAACAAAAACTAGCCTGGCAACTGGCGTCCTGAGTTCTTCCGTTTTAGTGCAAGCCTGAAATCCGACAGGGTAAAACAATACCACCCACAACATCTAATTTTATTGCTGCAATTATATTTGTAGCGCTAGGCAGTTTGATAAAAAATTATGCATACCTTGTTTTCCTTTCCCAGGTGTTCAGTAGGATAGGGGTTCATGGTGGTTGGCCGCCCGTCCGGAAAGTGGATGGAGCAAACCTGCAAAAGCAATTTTCAACTTGCATGATGATGCAGAGCACAGGAGTGGGTTTGCACATGTTGTACTCTCCTTAAAGGATGCTGAACCGAATTCTGTGCATCATATATCAAGGCAGGTGCAATAGGCGGGACACTACAAACTCCCACAACATCACTCACACTGCGATATTTCGAACGGATGGCCATATCTTTGTAAAAGAATCGAGCGATTCAATGAGGCAGACGAGGCCTGTCACATTCCGATTCTCATTCTCTCTCTCCTTTGCTTCGTCCTCTCGAGGAGGTGGACCGAACCGAGGAGAAGAGAAAGACTGCCAGTTTCTTCCATTCTCAACCGTTCCCAGAGAATGGCAACAAAAAGGGCTCGGTTCAATCGAGCCCTTTTTGTCCAAAAATCTGGCTATCTGTTTCAGATATCGCTGTATGAGTGATGTTTTGGCGTCCGTAGTGTCCTGCTGAACATGTCTGCGGCCTCATTTTGTGAAATCCGAATTTCGGTTCAGCATCCCTTTAAAAGCTGGACAATGCCTTTATCAAGCCTGTACCCAGCCCCCCCCCCCCCCCCCCTCCCCAGATATCTATCTTGACGGTGCCTCCTCTTCCCCCTCCCCCTCATACAGCAATTTGTCATAAACGGATCCCCCCCCCCCCCCCCCCCCCAAGAAAACAAAACAAAAAAAAATCCTGGCTACGTGCCTGGCCTGTACTACGCTGACCTTTTCCTCTGAATAGCAAACATTATCGACACATTCAACAATCTCTCATAAACGTATTTCTGGACACACACTGATTCGAAATACCATAAGCATCGATTTTCGAAAGCTACAACCCGCGCGAATAGCCACAAGGCGTTACTTGGTAAGGCACATGAGCACTGTCTCTTCGCTACGCGACACACTACGGCACATCAGCACTCTCTTCGCTACGCGACACGCTACGAAACCGCGATCACCGGTCTGTCCCACTGTCTCATATAGTACGTTGGAACGAACGTCTGCTTCTCCTAAAGTTGCGTGACAACTTTCTGTGCCGGATGATCGCTCGAAATTTTTAGAATCGAGCGAGACGATGACGCCCAGCGGAATTTGCTCGTACCGTTAGACTGCACGACGCCGAGCGGCGTCGTGCAGTCTAAGTAGCAGCTAGCTCTTACCATTGCGCTCTTTCCAGGGTTGAAGTTTTTTCTCTCCAAGTTCGCCAACCACTGCCGACGCCTTTCTTCGTTCTTCTTTCCGTTGGGGAAACGGTGCATCGAAAGCGGTGCCAAGCACGGGCAGTCCCTGTGCGCTAAGGGCGCATGTTGAGCACACACAGCATCATTCCAGGCCTTTATATCGCTGCTGCAGTTCTTGCATCCAACTACTGAACATGTCTTGCCCGCCAAACGCGGTTTAGGCCTCCCAGCGCGGTCTCCCATTTCAATATCTCGATGCGGGCACCTGCCTGCAAGCCTTGCCTGCCTTGGCCCCGGGCAGAAATAAAGGTCGGCTATGGCGGCCGCGGAGAGCGCGCCGACTGGTGGCGGCTCGATTAACTGATCCGCGCAAAGCGTCTATAGGATCGCTTCAGACGGGGCAACCTTTCCAGCAATTTTGGGGCTGCTGGCGGGTTGTTCCCTAGTTTTCCCTAGATCGACACGAATTGCTGAGATTGTGTCCGGCTCGAAGCGGACGAGCAGCTCTGACTACTCGGAGATGTTTGAAGCGGCAGCAGCCAATCAGGAATGCAATATTTTCACGTGACACCCCTGTGGTCGTGATGATGAGAACTGAGGACTTAGTTCTGGTTTGAAATGGATCATTTTTGAAAATAAACTGTTTCAAAAAGATGAGTTAGTATTTTTAGCGCAATTTAAAGATATAAAAACATGTTTTTAGGATATAACTGTGCGTCTAAATACTGTAAGAAAAATAAAATTTCATGATGATGATGGCAAGTCGTAGCAATTCGGTTGCTGCATGTGAACGCGGGCGGCCCGTGTTGCTGGTGTTGCGACATGAAGTTGCTGGGCGAAATTGTTCCGTCTGAAGCGGGCTTTAGGAAACTGAATTCAAGGGCCGTTCATGTCGTATTACACCTGAGACTGCGGTGGAAGAAATGTGCAAGCCCACCTGGAAACATTTTTTTTTTCTTTTTTGCCTTTTTTAGGAAATCAATATTGGCCCAAAAAATGGGGTGGGCGATGGCTCGGGGATGGGCGATGACTCGGGATATTACGGTATGTACTTTTTTATGTTTTAACATATAGATGCATAATTTACACTCTAATTCATTTTCAGAAGCGCTTTCATTCACACTCTGTGGCTGCTTGCAATAGCTTCTCGGTGAGCTAATGCCAGCTCTGCAAAGGGAGAGGGAGCTTCCCACGCTTTGCAGGCTGTAAAGCTGTGGCTTGCACAGCTCTAGTGTGTCACACATCGCTCACTGGCTCCATCGCGAAGCATGAGTCGCGATGGAGCCAGCTTCATGAGCTTCATGAGTCGCGCCACACCGTGAGCCCAAAAACGGTCGGGTGACAAACCTGGGACCATTTATCACTGCACTCAGCTATGGTATGGTGGCATGGTCGGGGCATGAAGCAGGGGTACAGCTTGGAAATGCTGACCTTCATGACATTTTAAACACATTTTTCATTACTTTTGTGTCGAGTTGTCAGCATTCTAAAGGTGAGAAAGCAAGCAGCAGCGAAAGCAAGAAAAGAAAAATTTAAGACCGCTTTCACCAAGAATCAATTATGAGCACTAGAAAGGCATGGAGTGTAATTAAGACGCTTCTAAAGGTGAATTAGCGTATAAACTAAGTAATTGTGCCTCAAAAATACAATAAAAACAATGTAAATATAGTTATAAGGATAAAAATATACACCAGGAGGACTTAAACCAAAACTACAGTCTGCAAGTTTGAAATTTGACACCTTAAACCACTTGGCCACCACCCAATTTTATTTCCAGGTCGTTCATCGAGGTATATGAATTTTGTTTGCAGCTGTCGGCTGCAAGAGAGATTGCTTTATTTTCATTTACTTTACTATTCCCACCAAATATGACAAGTGATAAAGAATAGAACCTCATTTGGTTGGCCGAGGCACTGTGCTTGCATCAAGGCAAACTAGCCTGTCTTGCGGGTTCATATTTTGTTTCATCACCTGTTTAAAATTCTGCTGTCGCTCATCAAAATAAGAAAAAAAAACTCACTAATTCTGACTTATTCTGGTGTGCAGGTACCCTTGTCAGTAAACTCTGCTAAAAGGGGCAAAATATAGATACTTTTTTTTAGCAAATATGCATCGTTTTAGCAAAATGAGCTACAATATTTCACTAACGTGAAACAGAACGAGCCTCTCCACTTGGGTCTTTTTTCATCTCTCGCAGACACTATTTCCTGCTTTTTGTGGTTTGTATCAGACTTTTGTATTCTGTCCGGCCAAAGCATCTGTGTTACACTAAGACTGTGTTCTTTAGGATATCTACAGGTATTCTTCGCAGCAAATGGCTTCCAATCAGGAACACGAGTTTGTTCTCGGCCGCAGAGAGCAAGTATTTTCAAGGTGAGCTACTGCCCGCCTATATGAGTTTTGTATTTCATTCCTCTTGAATGTCATAACCTATGTGTAGTGGTCTTGCATTAGTATTTTGTTGTCTCTCTTCTGCAAAAACACCCAAGTTTGACTAAGACCGGGTTCTTTCTTATACATGCAGGTCTTGGTGGCAAGCACCAGCCAATCAAGGCCAGAAGTTTGCTCTTTGCCGCGCATGGCAAGTGTTTTCAAGGTGAGTGATTGACGCCTATCTGAGTTGTGCGTTTCATTCCTCACAGACACTCTATGTCCTGTCTTTATAGTGGTCTTGTGTCAGGCTTTTGTGTCTCTGTCCGGTCAAAGCATCTGTGTTAGACGAAGACTCGGTTCTTTAGGATATCTGCAGGTATTCTTTGCAGCAAATGGCTGCCAATCATGAACACGTGTTTGTTCTCGGCCACTAAAAGCAAGTATTTTCAAGGTGAGCTATTGCCCACCTATATCAGTTTTGTGTTTCATTACTTTTGGATGCCATTTCCTATGTGTAGTGGTCTTGCACTAGTATTTTGTTGTCTCTCTTCTGCCAACCCTATTGGAAAACCCCAATATAAACAGCGTATTATGGATATTGGTAAACAATATCTTTTTATTGTATTGCAATACGATATAGACAGTGTATTGGAAAACATTACATTCATTGTATTGTATTACAATAAGGATTTGTTATGGGATTCCAATATCCATAAACGCTGAAAATATTGGAATCCAATACCGTATAAACCCTTATTGGATCCCCATGTGTCGTATGGGGATCCAATAAGGGTTTACGATTCCAATATACTCAGCGTATTATGGATATTGGAATCCAATATATTATATCGGCTACCAATAAAACTATATGCGAGTTGGAATATCACGTTCGGCATGACATTTCTTTGCAACGCAGTCTCTTCTTGTGTGTATTTCTGAGTGATAAAAGAAAAAGTGTTGTTGTTGTCAAATTATGAATAAAGAAGCAAAACACTGGGCTTATCCATACCAAATATATTTAACATATTCCTGAACTGGATGATCTGGCATTTACTGCAAAAGAAAGTTAATTGTTTAGGACCCTCATTCAAAAACTTGCTGTTTGAAAACAGAATGTGAAATCCTCACCTTTTAATGAAAGCAGCACCTGCTAGCTGTAGCCATATAGAAACTGCAAAATAAAAAATTGTGATTAGTTCGCAACAAGTAGCAATCCTTCACTAAGCCGGATAGATTCAAAATTATGTCCGCGTTTGATTGTGGAAAAATAAGCTTGCATTCCACTGCCACGGATCATTCTGAGCTCCGTCAATTAAATAAACCTATCGGCTCGTCTGGCTTTACAGTTCCTGCTTTGCACCTAACCACGGTGAAAGATACACTCTTTAGGTGAGGACACGCCGGGGCTGAACGCGCGGCGCGAGGAATCAAATAGTGTTCGTTCGACGGGCATCCGAAAGACTGCATCATTCGGCTGCCACCGTGCCCGCGACTGACAGTGTCACTGGCGGCCAAACGGCGGAACTGTGTGACAGCAAAAAATCATTCTCTCGTTGTCATGACACCCCGGTACACCATGGTCTTTCTGCACGTGTGACAACCTCGCTGGAGCTCTGCGCGTGTGGTATATAAGGCGGCACGAGCCGTCTTGAACGTGCCCACGGGTCGACGAGTCACCTGCTGGCGTTGCTTGAAACCAAAGTGAGAGAGTGTGAAGGGCGAACTTCATCGGGCCGTGGCCAAGAGCGCGCTGTCCTCACCTGAAGAGTATTATCTTACACCGTGCACCTAATTAAAGTATCTGGAATGCTCACCTTTGAGGAAAAACGAACTGGTGCTTGCTTGCTTGTAGGCCGTGGAAACTGGGACAAACTGGGAGAGAGATTTGCGATTAGTTGCGTTCAAGTAGCAATTACATTGAGTAGCCCCGTAAAGTACACTAAGTCGATAGGATGGAAGCTTGGGCGAGTTGGTGAACCATACTTGGCGGTGACAGCGCAGCAAAATTAATCTCACACCAGACACTCAGGAAGACAAGCACACGCGCTGAACTTACAACTCTTGTGTATTCGACTGCTTCATTTTTCTCTTCAACGTCTGGGTTGACTTTTAAGAACGTGATAAGTAGAAGAAGTAGCACGAAATACAAAGGAAAATTCTAAAGAGAAGGCAAAAGAACATTAAAAGAGAAGACAAATGAAGAAACGGAAAAAATATCTAAACGAAACACTTTTCCAAATTGTCCCTCTCCCTCATCGCTATCATTTAGATAGAAATTGGAGCTCTTTGGTCGACAGCGCTATAGAAGGACTACTTACAGACTTGTCCTTCAGCTGTGCTATCCTTTCCACTTCCATTATTTCTCTAGTCAATGCGTCTCTACTCCTACCTATTACAGAACAATTTTCAAAATGTGCTATACAGCCACAATCGCGACTGGATTCCCAAGTGTCCAGCTACGACTCGGTGGGTGTTATAAAAATGCTCTCTTAAACGATCATTCAAACACCTTCCAGTCTAGCGTACATACTCTCTACCACATGAGAGTGGGACAGAACACACGACTCCTTCAGTACAATTTACAAAGCTCTTTTGGTGCTTTTTCAAACAACCAACTTCCCGGTGTGCCGTCATTTACCTTCCTGCACAGGCTTAGAAGCTTATTTGGTGCTGAAAAAGCAACATTAATGTTAATGCAGTTACCTATCTTTTTTAGACCGTGCTAAACTTTATGTATATATGGAACAATGGCCATCCTTTTCTTTTCTGTATTGCGTTTAGGTCGTTCACCCCATCATATTCTCTTTAATAAATCCTCTGCAACGGCTGTAAGTAATGCACTAGGATATCCTGTTGACTTTAACCTGGCG